TTCCTCTACTAGTGCTTAATTCCGTATTACCGCCCCTACATGCAGTAAATATACAAAATTACTATACATTTAATGGCTTTATATAGAGTTGTCACCTTGTTGAGGAGTATTCTTGATAATATGGCATTCGAGTGGCAGGTGTCAAAGCACTCGGATATAATACGGTAGACAGAGGATCGGCATGAACATATTCGAAAGGACAGTGGGGCACCTACCATGGGTATTACGGTAGATATATTATAGTATTCATTCGTACCACTACAAATTGAACAAGTCGAATGAACAACTTGAATCACTTTTGATTATAGTCTACCGTGACCCTGGAAGATGACAAACTGGTCCAAGTTCAAAAGTGGGACGGCAAAGAAACCACGTTTGTCCGAGAGGTCAAAGACGGGAAGATGATCATGGTGAGCTATATATGCCTTGTTATCGCAATCAGTGCACTGCGATCTCTATAGTGCAGTAAAAATAATGGTGCCACTTTACAATAAAGCTGCCCATGTAAAGGGTTTATGAATGGTTTATAATCTGATTATTAATTAGGTTGTAATACTTTGTAAATTATTAATAGACAATTTTAAACAACTTATAACACTGTTTTCTTTTTATTAATGAGTTACTACCATTTACAATAGTCAAAAGGGAGCCTTATTGCAAAGTGGTACGAAAATAATGAAATAATCTGAATGTAGACTTTGGCCGTCAGCATATTTACAGCTGCAGTAATCTAGAGTACCTTCTCATTGACATGTTCAGTAGCTAGACGATTATAGAGGCGCACTGTTGTGACTGCATTACATTATCTTGTTAACTATATTTTCTTCTTTCTTCTTTTTGCAGAACCTTACCTGTAACGATGTTAATGCAGTGCGCATATACGAAAAGGTGTAAAATACTGCTCTCAATCAGCTCTCTTTTAATAATTTCATATAATTTTATGCTTACTTGCCTCTAGACCTAAAATGTTTTCTTTTGGTTTGGTTTTATGGAAACACATCAACGTCTGTTGCGTCCACTTAATTTTTATATGAATAGCAAGAATATGCTACTGAAAAATCAAACTAAATAAAAAATAAGCAGGACTACTGATTTTCTTATTGATTTTTTGACTATTTATCTTCTATAGCTTTGTCTTCTATGTCGCCTAAAGGCGACACTGCCTTTAACAAATTGGACTACTATAGTTATTTACCATCTTATTTAAGGGATGAAATGAAAATGATAAAAAGAAAATACAATCTCCAAATATCCTGCCAAAATGAAAATTAATCATTTCCATTCATGTATGAGTCAGATTTGGAAAAATTAAAAATTAAAAAATAAAATTAAAAACCATTTTCCAATTTGACTTTTCATTTCATACTTTGCCTTTTCTTTTTCAAGTTCACTACATGCAAATATATGTTAATCGGAGCGCGGCGGTGGGCGGAGCTACTGACCACACCTGCGCTTCTCAGTGCGTTTGCCGATTCCTTTCTCCTTGTGTTTCTTGCCCATGGTCGCCCGTGTCGCCCAAACGAATGGCAAAGTCACACGCGGCTTAAGTTAGCTACTTATCTGAAGCTGCCGATTCATTTAGCTTCTTATTCGCAGCGTCTTTGGAAAATAAATGGCAAAGTGGAGATTGTATTTTCTTTTTATCATCTTCATTTTATTTTTTGCAGAAAATTCCTCCCATATAGACACAGGAGACAAAGATACGAATAAGTATTCTTTATTAATAAATACAACTGAGGGCTGCAGCCTCTTCCGGAGGGCAATACCAAGCAGTGGGCGGTAACACCGGCGTACATCCACGCCGGAATCAAATGTTAAAAAGGACGGTTACTCCTCACTACAATACTGAGCTTTTTTGGGACGTGCAGTCTCTGAAGCTTTTCAGTCGTCTTGGGCTGTATCCTGGGTGGGACTCACTTTTGCTTCCAGAACCACTTTAAGGTTAAGACGAGTCACTTTCAGAGAAGCCATTCTGCACACCACAAAGGTTCTGAGCTGTTATATTTTGTTATATTTCTTATGTTTCAGAGGTCTGGCCATTTTCCACTGACCTCACACATTAACAAGGTGTTTTCGGACAACAGCACTGCCGTTTATAGGATTTTTTTTTTTCCCGTTGTTGTTCATTTCACTGTCCACTGCAAACTGTAGACAGCATAGTGTGGGAAGGTGGCGGTTCCTGAAATTCTGGAAGCACCAGGTCTGGCTCCTTCAGTCACGCCATGTTGAAAATCCATTAGATCAGGCGTCTTAGTTGAACAGTAACGGAGTCTCTTATCCCTGCAGGTTCATTGCCTTCACAAGCAGATGTAGATAATAAACTGGGCACTGAGTGTATATACTTCATTCACTGTCACACAAGGATGTAGTTGTGCACATTTAAAAAAAAAAAAATAAAAGAACAGGGGATGGAATTGTGAAAGAAGAATAGGTTTCCCCCTCGCTCCCCAGTGGTAGTTTTCAGCCAGCCTGAATGCTCGTTTTTATTACCCTTTCAGAGGATGACCGGGCCTTGGGTTCGATTTAGCTCTAAGCTGATTTGTTCTCCCCACCATGGACTGAATGAAACATGTTAGTCTGCAGCCAATTGGCTCTGAGTGTGAGCATGACAGTGCTGTGACAGACATTCTTTAGTCTCCACAAGAAATTACCCTTATTGTCCTCTTTGAAAAGAAGACGGCTTGGGTGTCAGAAAGACTGTAACCCAGTGACTTCCATGGGAACCCCAAATAAGGGGTGGAGTATTTCCGTTACATAAAGGCGAACTGTGATAGGGCAATCTTTGAGGGAGGAGTGTACAATGTACAATGGGCAGTTCTGACTGCCAATGAGCCAGAGTCCAAGCATTAATGAAAAAAACTGCAGCCACAGTAATTAAAGTGTTGTGTCGATGTAACAAAATGCTGACTTTCTGCCTTCTGACTTTATGATCCTATGCTGTGTGGGGACACAAAGGTTTTCTTGTATGGTTGTGTTGTTTTTTGTCCGTAAAAGGCAAAAGTGTTTGTTCACATTTTTAATGGGTGACATGCTCAAACCGTAAAATACTTTAGAAAAAAGCAGGGAAATGTTACATTAACATATTTCATGTGCCACATATTATTTCTTAGTAAACGGCATTAAAACTACACTCTTCATCATTTTTAGAAACCGTGGTAATGAACATTGGAAATTATAAACTTACAGGATAAAATGAGAAGATTGTTATTGTTCTACTTCAATGACATAAATGGAATCTTCTTGTTATTTACACACAACATCCAGGTGAAATGTGAGGTTCATTTGAAAGAAGAAATCCAGATGTCAAAGTTGCGAACATGAACAGTTTATTTATTAGCTTGACTAAAACAAGCAGTGCTGCTTTTAAGACATTAAATGTCATCCACAGAGCTGGCAGCGGATCAGGCTACATGCTTTTGGAGAGTTCGACTCTGAACACTTATACAATCAATCAACTAACACATGTTTCCAAATCTGGTCCTTGGGGACCCACAGACAGTCCATGCTTTGGCTCCCTTGCAGCTTCTGGAGCAAAAATGTGGACAGTCTGGGAGGGAGCAAAAACGTGGGCTATCTGTGGGTCGTGAGGACCGGGTTGGGAAACACTTAACTAATTAATATATACTTATCAGTGCACCTTTCATTCAGCTTTTTTTCAGTAGGATTCAACTTATATTACTACATGGGAGGTTGGAGTAAAGTATGTTTACTTTAAAAATTTTCATTTTGCGTAAACAATAATGTCATGCTGTTTATTAATTAATATCCTGCCTTATAACTGACATCAATATTGAAATGCGGTTTTAAAACCTTTGAAAATGAGGTTACTTCATAAAGAGTATCTGCACACCTTTACTGAAATGCTGGAAAGGATTGTCAGAAAGAAAGAGTTATTTGTGAGCTATGAACAAGCAGAAAAAAATCCATACGCACAGCCAATTTAAATGTTTGACTCAAAACAACTATTTCTATTGAAAATATTCTATATATGCCAGACAATAAAAGTATATTATATGCAAAATTGAAACACGGTATTTTAAAAAAAGTGTCATAGGTGGACACCATTGTTCATGTCGTAAAGAATAGAACATGAAATGCTTCTCAATGTTACATTTGGGGAAAGAAAAGCATTTTTCTTTTAACGCTTTACAGCTTATTTGGAAAACAAAATGAGCTACACAATGCTATAATTGCTTCTGAACATTAGACATGATAACATGGGCCCAGGATTATAGACCAATAAACAGATTTGTGTTTTCCTTGCTGTCAAATATGACAGGTGAAATGCTCTGCTGGGATACCAATAGTCACGTGAATCATACAGGCCTACAAAAAGTGTCAAAGTGCGTGACACACTCTCAGCGCACTTTGATCGGCATTTTAAGTCGATATACAGCTTATCACTCTTTGCCCCTGGTGTGACTCATTGTATATAGCACAGCAAGTTACACTTCAACTTTATATACAGAAGGATATTTAAAGAATAAACATCAATGGTTCTTTATGGAATTGACCTGCAACCCTGTTAGGTAAAGTACTGAGTAAATCTCAGAAAAAATGCCCCATTGCTGCCCAGATACAAATATAACATATTCACTGCTAGTATTATATATTATATCTAACAATTTATATAAAATGTTTATATAATAATAATAATATTATATATATATATATATATATAATGATATAATATATAATGCATATAATAATATAATATATATTATGTATTATATTATAATATATGTCATATTATAATATGCTGTATTATTATTTTATTATATTATATAGTTAAACTTATATAAAGTATATATAATTTATTGCATAGTTCATTTACTTTTTGAAATTGTGTGGTCACAAATACACGAGACCAATGTAAAAGTTTTCACTCATTCAGGAAGAGAGAGAGTACTTCCAGGACCAAGATGCCACCATTGACTCAAATAATGAGCCCAACGGAAAATGACATTAACTTAAAACATACCACATTTCTTAAGATTCTAGAAGTTCCCTGAATTCTTTATAAACAATAATAAGCATGAATAATGTATATTACATACCACCTTTCTGACATTACAAGTAAGACATTACAAGTAACTCTAGTGATGGTCAAAATATGCCAGTTGGTCATATCAGTGTAAATGAATACTGAACCAGCCTCCCACGATTACCGTTACATAACAGTGCGGCCGGCACAGCGCAAACTTGAAGACGATACACAGTATCTTGGCAGGTCCAATCACGAGACACTGTACCATCCACTGGACGTCCTCATTCGCTGAATAGTGACACATGCGAATGTACTGTAGGAAATGAGCACTCCAGACCCCTCCCACTCAAGGATAGTGCAGAAGGACTATTTACAAACTTGTGTGCCCTGTGTTACGATCAAGTCAAAATCATTAAAAGATAAGTCAGTATACAGTATATAGCGTTGGCTTCATAAGGCCACGTCAATACATTTCTAAGGCTTACATAAGACAGCTTTCTTAGTCACTGAATAAAATGTAAACTTTTAAAATATGCTTTTTTACATCTTGTGACAGCACTTTAGAAAGTTTATGTAAATAGATTCAAAAGTACTCTGCATGTAACCTGCTAAATAGAGAAGGATATTTAATCGTTCCCTAGTATCTACTAATTTTACATGTATTCAGCACTGTTAAACTGTCGACCATTAGAAATGTAAACAATTATTCAGCATGGAACATTTTGAATTCATGGTTATGCACTGAGGATTCTGGGAATTATTTCCACCAAAATCTGCAACAGGTAAAGTTTCCTGGAAAGGATTTGGGTTTACGCTGCTGTACCTGTACAGCAACAAAGGAAAATTGCACCGTAACAGGTCAAATAAATGCCGTTCTCTCCATTCCAGCCGGTCTGCGGTTACTGTTAAGGACCTTTTGAGAAGTGCCAGAGCCCCAGCTGAACCATAGCAGTTGCCGCGGCAGGAAAGGTGATCAGCACAGGTGCTGTCAGGTAAAGCTGCCCTGCTGTGCTGGGCCCAAGCTTTCTCAGTAGTTTGAAAGAGGCAGTCTGAATTGTATGTTCTGCCAAGGCATGAAGGGGAACAGTGGGTATTGGCCGTTCTCTTCATCCACAAAGACACACTGGAAGAAGTGGATATCCCCTGTAGAGTTTCAAATTAAAGTTAAAAGTTTATATATATGAACACACATACATAAGTACATCTATGCCTTTCTTTTAGAGATTGAGATTGTAATTCTTTGCAGTGAATTTATTCTCATTTGTTCACTGGTTCATTCACTTGCGACAATTCCCCTTGAATATCTTTCTGGGGGGGGGGGGGGGGTTTGATTTTCATTGATATAGGCATACCGACTCTTTCAGAAATGTGTCCATCATTATACTGGTGGGTGGCTAAAGGGGCTGTTCTACGAACCAAATGGTGACTCAATTATTAAACAAACTGAATAGAATGGGGAAGATGAACGATATGAATGAACTGACCAAACTGAATAAACCAGTGTAGTGAACTGGATCATTTTGATCACTTAAAAGATTAGTTCAAAAAGAACAAATTAAATGACATGAGTCTAAGTTATTTGTTTTATCTCATCTCTCTCGAGTCTTGGATGAGACTGAACTTACAACTTGCTGCCATGTCATCTGCAACGGGTTCCGGCTCTTCTGCAAAAACAGGGATTGAGCAGAGATGTCAGCTCAAGCCGCACATCTTGTTAATGTCAGGTGACATATTTTTACATATTTACATACAGTATATTTATATACCTGCCTATGTTCATATTAAAAATATTATGTTTTGCCACAGTGCCAGATTAGGCTTGACGGGCCCCACAATTAGTATGAAATTCAATAAATTAGTTTTGTTTGTTGCTCAACAAATAACGTCATCCAACCCAAATGGCTGGTCTACCACTGCAGTTTTACACATTCACACAGCTTGATATTGACTGAAGCCTCATTATCTAGAGCCCTATTATTCAAATCATGGTCCTCAAGGTCCGAGCACTGCTGGTTTTCCAGCCTTCCTTTACCTGTCAGTCAGGTGTGAAGCCTCTGACCAGTCAGAATCAGTAATTATTAAACAACTACCTGGGAGAACTGAAAACACGGCCTGGATTTGGAATCGAGGTCCAGATTTGAAGAACCCTGATCTAGAGGGAACTTACCTTCCACTTTCTCCATCTTGATATGTTTCTTCTCAACAGGCTTATCTGTGAACCACGAAGTCACAAAAGCGGAATGAATGAAACCATTGAAGCTGCTGCAATGTTCAACACATTTTTAAAGATTTGTAAAAAAACAACTGACAGAATGTGTAGAAGTGGTTCATATGTGGAATATGGGCCTTAAAAAAAAGCTAACGAGAAGTCTGATGTCATCATTTTGTTGTATAATTTTAAAGAAACATAACATTTTTATCACTTTATTTGGCTCAATCAATACCTTTCTTTGCACGAGCTGGTTTGGCCTTCACTTTAAGGTCTTTAGGTTCTGAAACATTTTAAAAAGAATATTTCTTTCAATGTAACTATATATTGACCAATTCATGCCTATAGTGCTTATGCAAAATGAGTATAATTCAGGGACTTAAAGGCCAAAGTACAAAAGAAATTACTTGCTGAAATGTAATGCACAACTTTTTTGTTTAGAAAACACTGAAATTACTGATTTACAAACTATGAAGAGAATTAATATACTAACCTCCCTCAAAAAACACATTAATAATATAGGAGCCAACATTTAACTGTTTTTAAATGGAAATCTTGATGTATTCACATCATTATCTAGACTCTCATATGTCTCAGATACAAGGGAATATTTTTCAGAATTTTAAAAATATATTCAACAAAAAAATTGACTTTAAGATTTCTTAAATCATTAATGAAACATTAAGTACCTTTTTGGGGAGGTGAAGTCAGTTTCACCTTGGGAACCTTACTCTCTGGAACAAGAATGAAACATCGACATCACTTAAATTCAACACTATTGTTAAATATACCAAGATACCAGGGACATTGAGTTACCGTTATTTATGAGAGTGAACAAAAACAAAAGAAACGTAGAAGTTATATTAAAGCAGCACTTCTACCTTTCTCCAACTGATCTTTTCTGGCCTTCTTTGTTGGGACGACAGGCTCTGAAGAAAAGCATTTTCATATTTACTGTACCACCATGTACTACATTACTACAATAATAAGTAATTTAAAATGCCTTCATTAAAAAAAAATAATAGAATATGGCAAATTGCTGATGACCTAAAAAAAAACCCATAAAATAATCCATACCTTTCTTTTTAGAAACCTGTTTGATCTTGTCTTTAGTATGTACTGGCTCTGAAACATGACAAACACTCAGAAGTTTGGTTATCCACAGAACAACAGGAGTATCTTATTGCTTGCTGATTAATGTCTCATGACTACCAAATATTACATACATTTTTGTATTAGCCTGACCTGGGTCTTCAGGAGCTCCAGCATCAACATGGTCATTGGGTTGGGTCACATACTGGATGGAAAGCCAGTCCACCACAGGGCAAACACACAACCATGCACTACGGGCATTTTAGTGACGCCAGTTGTCCTAATGGTTGTGTCTTTGAGGAGGAAACCCAAATGACACGGAAAGAACATGCAAATTCCACAGATGGAACTTGAATCCCCAGTCCTGGAGGTGTGAGGATGTGACCACTGAGCCACTGCTACCCCCCCACATCCATCCATCTTTCATTCCGGGTCACAGGAGTCCAGAGCCTATGGGCACTCGGCAAGGCATGTCCCACCCCGAGGGTGTGAATTTGGCAACTCCAAATCACATGAGCATTTCTGATACTCCACGATGACATGGGGAGAACATGCAAGCCCCCCCCCCGGAGCCAAGTTAGAGACCTGAGACCTGGTCCTGTAGGTGTGAGGCACCACTGCTAATCACTGCACCACTATGCTGCCATCCGCCCACAAGATATTTGCAAAATTACTGTCAGATATGTATGTCAATTACCGTTCCTTTACCCCATTTTGCTGTTTAATATGTTCATACCTTTTTTTGGTTTGACCTCCACAGTCTTCTTTTTAGGAACTTCAGCTTCTGAAAACCACAATATGAATTGAATCCTTCAGTCAATCAATCAATCAATCAATCAATCAATCAAATTATTCAAAGAAAACAGCAAATCTATGTCCAGGACTATGGTGGCCAATAATCTTAATGATTCAATAAAAAATAATAACAACTGTGAGAAATTAATTTAAATAAAAAAAATTTAAAAGTATGAATTTGAGTACCTCGTTTTGGAGTAGTTGGCTGTTTGGCTGCCAGCGTAACATTTGACTCTAAAACATAAAATATTTTCCAGTTTTCAAAATTTCTGCCATTACATTACAAAATATGAAGATGTTCATCGGTTCAATCCTCAAGACTGACATACATAACCTGACCAAAACATTTGTCTACTGCAGAGATAAAATGCATGTGAATGATTAAGCAGGTCAGTTACAAAAGTCACACACCTTTTTTGGAAGTCTGTACTGCGGATCTGTTTGTGATGATTGGATGGTCTGGAATATAATTACGTAGCATTTAGTACAGTATAGTGGTTAGCTCAGTTTACCGAAAAACATAAAACCTGAGAATAGCACAAAATCAAAACTCATCGAATTATCCCCTCATATTACCTCAAATACTGAACAAGAGATTTCTAGCTGAACCTTACCATACCAACGCGGGGGTCCCGGACAGTAGCGTGGCAGAGGATCACACGTAGGGCCTATCACATAGAGCAAGGCATTAATTCCAGTACTTTCCTTTCAATACTCCAGATCATTAGTGAATCATAATGTTAATGTATAATTCACAGCGCTGGATTGGGGATTATAACAAAGACACCTATTTCTTTGCTGGAATTAGGATTGTAAACTGGGATAATTTGTGAAAGTGAAATGCAAAAATCATGTAAAGCCTTAACTACAATAGTACTACTTTTAATATATTAGAAAGCTTTAAAAAATAATAATTTGGTAACACTTTACTTGATGGGCCACAAATACATAGTAGTAACTGAGTTACTATTGAAGTACAAAACATGTACAAATATTGTTGCCTCTTAAGATAAAAGATACTTCCTGTGTTTCTGACTAGATAATCTATGTGTCGTTAAACAGGTTTGAAGCGGGCCAGTACTTGGATGGGAGACCAACTAGGAAAGCTGGGTTGTTGCTGGAAGAGGTTTTGGCGTGGCTAAAAGGGTTAGCCCATCCTGTGGTCAGTCTGAGTCCCGATGCCACAGTGACAGGGACACCGTGCTTTAAAAATAGTGCCGTCTTCCAGATGAGACGTGAAACTGAGTCCCTGACTCTCTCAGGTCATAAAGGGTCTTGGGTCATCTTTTGAAAGAGCGGGGGGGGGTTCCCCAATGTCTTGGCTAAATTGCCCACTATGGCCCATTCAAATCTCCCAATCAACTCCTATATCGAATTGGTGAATTCTCTCCAAACCTTTCATCACCTTAGCTACTATGTGGTGAGTGTACTGGTGTAGAATGGCTGCCGCCACATCATCCAGGTGGGGGCTACACAGTGGTGGGGGCTGAAGTGGCTCCCCATTGGTTCTGAAAAGTGCTTTGGGTGTCTTGGAAAGCATTATATGAATGTAACATTCATTCATTCATTCACCACGATTCATTAATGATAAACAAACATGAGATCCTTATTTCTCTTGCGTTATTCATTACTTGTTCCTTCAGTAGTTCACCAAGGTGTGCATAATTATCAGATATAGCAACAAATATAATGGCATCTTGATTCATTAATGATGAACAAATATGATTGGTATTTAACTTGTGTTATTCATGACTTGTTCCTTCAGTAGTTCCTTCAGTAGTTCACAAAGGTTTACTGAATTAATAGATATAGTAACAAATATAGTAACTGCTTGGGATAAAACCTGCACCACGATTCATTTATAGATGAATTACCATGAGAATATGCAACTAAGACCTACTTTGTGGTTATTTAATACATATAACATATAACACATAGTAATAGCATAATGCTATATTATTTGTGCTTTGTCAAGTAAAGTATTATTAATAATTTTAATAATGTTCCACAGGCTTTTAGTGTTACCTCTCTTCTTGTGCACTTTTTTTGGAGTCCCTGGAGCTGAATAAAAAGAAACATAGATAAAGTTATATGACAATGTACTGAAATGCATCACCAGCCATTAAAAGTATTCTCGAAAGCTATTTTTATACAGTAGGCGTGGAGCTACACTGTAGCTACCATTAAATAAAATGCATAATATATTGGAATTGTAATGTATGAGCTAAAGTAATAATCATTCCTTTATTCTGATCACACATCGTCAGTTGTGTTTACCGCTCAGTTTAGGCTTCTCCTCAGATTTACCGTGAGCTTCTGGTGTTCAGGTGCACATAGACACACAAGCAAAACAAAATCATTTTTTTGAGTGTTACTCTTACATTCACGCATACCTACATACATAGATAAATATTTACAAATTTTACAAATGGCACAGTGAAAACAATCCTTCTTCCAACTCCTTATTCTGATCTGGGTTGTGCAATAAAGCATAATGCCAATAATTGTTTTGATTTTAAAAATAAATATCAAACTACTGGACCTCTGAAAATTGCCCCTATTTGAATCCTTGCCAATTGTGCTTTTCTAAGAAGTTCTTTTAAGGAAAAATACTAAATATGTACGTATTAAAGATGTAATTCTCACATTAAATTTGACATTGTGTTAAAATGGTCTTACTGAATATAATTCACTTTCCAGTAGTACTGTCTGTTTCTGCGATAAAGTGAGATCGTAACACGCTCGACTTCATTCAGGTGACATTCAGTAATCATACGGAATACCTTTGCATCGTTAGCTGCTTCCTGTCTGAGAATGCAATATAAGATGACCTAAATGCACCGTTTCCTTCAGTTTCTTAAAGCTTTTTAAATCCCTCTTTTCCATACTCACTTTTTGCCACGGCCTCTTTGCGCTTCTGCACTTTGGCTTCAGCGGCGACCCCCGCTTTTGCTTCAGCCTCCTCTCCCTTCCTTGCTTTCTTCTCCAGTTTCACTGACTCTCCTACAGCTTCTTTCTCAGCCTTTATTTTCTGCTTCTCTGCGAAGACAACTAGTGGATATAAGTAAATTCAGCAGATTTGGAAAGGGGACCATTTCCTCATTAAAGTAAATGGGAGAATTCACTTTAAATAAGTTTAGGACTAGATGTGCCAAACTAGCGTTTCCCCAACTACTGGCCCTCCTGAAGCAGGATGCCGACCATGGAGGGTCACTCAGTTCTCTTTAGGCCATTATCAGACTTAGATAGGAGGCTAAATGAGAAAATAATGGGCAGTCACAATTCAACAGTTCAAGTACATACAGTATCAGTCAAAAGTCCAGACACACCTGCATTTAATGTATTTGTCTATATTTTAGCTGTGTTATTCACCTTATAGTAACAGGCCTCGAGGCAATGGAGTAATACATCAAATATTGCAACAACCAAGAGAAGTGTTTTAAAATTTTCCAAAATTTTATACTATTCAAAATAGTTCCCTTTTCTGTTGATGACAACATTGCAGACTCTTGGCATTCTTTAAACCAGCTTCCAGATGTAGCCACCTGGAAAGCTTCTCCAGCACTCCAGTCGTGAAGGAGTTTTCGCAAGTTTTGGGCACAAGTTGGCTACTTTGCTCTTACTCTTTGATCCAACTCATCGCAAACCAGTTCTATATAGTTTAGGTTGGGTGACTGTGGGGGGCAGGTTATCTGTCACAGCACTCCATCTCTATCCTTGCTCATGATATAATACAGTACAATTTTGACTGGTACTGTATATAAAAGTAGAACTAGATTATATAGAGTTCCATAATTAAGTTATAGTTAAAAGGTCATATCTTGTCTCCTTTTTTTTGTTTATCCTAAATGGTATATTCTGCTGTCTCTTTTTACCTTTGGTTTCAATAATTCTTGGTTTCTGCATTTTGGGTTTGACTTTTCCAGCTGGTTCCTCATCCTTCCTTGTTATCTCTGTTTTTGTCTCAGGTTTTCCAGGTTCTTCCTTGACTTTTTCTTTTTTGACTTTGGTCTTTTCTTTTGAAAGTTTTTCTGAAACTTTGTCAAGCTTAGCTGCAAGACAAATAAAAAAACACAAGTAATTGGTAAGCATACTGTAGGGGTTTGCTTAGTGTAACAAAGCAAACATATGTATTTTTGTGTCATTTTTAAATCATGTTACTTTGGTATTCAGGCTTTTTTTGTTTGTCCACTTTGGGTTCTGCTGTGGGCTTGACTTTTTCTATGACCAGTTCTTCCTTCTTCGGTTCTTCCACTTTGGGTTCAATTGTGGGTTTGGATTTTTCTATAGCTAGTTCTTCCTTCTTCAGTTTCGCCACTTTGGGCTCTGCAGTGGGTTTAGGTTTTTCTATAACTGGTTCTTCCTTCTTCTGTTTCTCCAATTTGAGTTTTATTGTGGGTTTGGCTTTTTCTACAACCATTTCCTCCTTTTTTGGTTTCTCCACTTTGGGTTTTGCTGTAGTCTTGACTTTTTCTGTAACAGGTTCATCCTTCTGTGGGTGGTCCACTTTCGGTTCTGCTGTGGGTATGACTTTTTCTGTAACCAGTTCTTCCTTCTTTGGTTTCTCCACTTTGGGTTCTGCTTTGCGTTT